AATAATAATAATAATAATAATAATAATAATAATAATAATAATAATAATAATAATAATAATAATAAGGTGTTGGAGTATGAGTAGCATTATTTAGATAATTCAAGCTAAATAATTGCACAACATCACAGCTTGCAAGGCCGGCCGCTTAATAAAAAATTAAAATCTTGAAAGGGACTTCATAATTTGGGGTATTTACTTACATGCCATCCAATTCTTAGGTATTTACATATATAACACCTAAATTTTATTTTTTTTTTTTACATTAATACCATCCACATCTTACATATCACATAAGAATATCACTATTATAACTTTTACGAAGTGAAAGACACTTTTTCATGTATAGGCAAGGGAAAAAATATTACATCAGGACTCCGCACGTAGAGCTACGTGCGGAGTCCAATGAAATTACGCCGTTGAGGTGATCGTACCGGCAACACAACGGAATATTCCCCTCGTGTTATTCAGGTGTTATTATGTGTTGTTCAGGTGTTGTTGTGTTTTATTCAAGTATTATTGATGTGTTATTATGTTATTATAACACCGGGAATATTCTCATAACACAATAACACATGAATAACATACAATAACAGATCAACAATTAATTAATTACACATGTCATTATGCAAAGCTTTTATGATAAATTTATTGCCGAATTTGAAATATCTGAAAAGAATAAGCACTTTGATGAATTTATATCAACCCCCTAAACATAATTACCATTTAAATTTAATCTAAAAATTGAATTCTTAATATTAAAATAGAAAGTTATTTCAAATCAAGTATAACTTTTCTATCTTCTATAGCAAACACATTTATTAATATGTTAAGAAGATTTACATACATACCATTTAACTCCTATGAAATTACATGTATAACCCCTAAACTTAATTTCTTACATATTTGCCACGTGATCTGTGTAAAAGTTGTATTTCACTTCTTAAAAGTTAAAATAATGATCATTTTAATGTGAAATAGCATGATTGTCAAAACGGCTCGTTGTTCGCGAACAACTCGTGTTCGGCTCGTTCGCTAAGTTAACGAGCTGAACGCGAACAACATGAACAAATATTTTTACGTTCGTGTTTGGCTCGTTTTGGCTTGAAATACTACTAATCAATTATATACATATATATCCTTGATGTGTAGCTACCAAAATTTATAATCAGTTAAAAGTATTAATGAAGAAAATATAATAAAAATTATTAAAGTATATTTAAATGATGTTTTAAATCTTGCCCCAATCCTTAACATCTTATGACTACGTGATTAGGATTGCCAAAACGATTCTTTGTTCGTGAACAGCTTGTGTTCGGCTTGCCAAGCAAACGAGCCGAACACAAACACACTTTTTAAGCTCGAAATACAAATGAGCCGAACAGGAGCTGAGCCTAGGCTCGCTCGTGTTCGGCTCGGAATGTAAAAGGTATAGTTTACGTGTTCCATATTTAAATAAATAAGATTTGAGTGGTATATATGTAAATAAATGTAATTGTAAGAAAAAAAAAAAGAGATAATTATCAATAATCTAAAATTAGGTCCCTTTCATGGCTAACCTTCCTGCCAGTTTCCTTTCTTCCCATCATCAGTTTTTGGGTACTTTAATAATTGAATTTTTATTTCAAATCGCCTCAAGTCGGCACTTTTTAAATAAATAATATAATTACTCAAAATTATGTGGACTAATTATGAAATTTTAATGAGAATTATTTATGTACATTTAATTTTATGCATTTATTTATCTAAATATTCAATTTATGTGGATTAATGATGAAATTTAAATGTGAGGTTATTTATGTAAAATTCAAATTAATTTTTGTAAAGTAAAACATAACTTTTAATGCATATATTTTGATGTAATGGTGACACTAAAAAATAAATAAATAAGAATTGTGAGGTAATTATGCAAATCTCCCAATTTTAATTAATTAAAAAAAATTAAAATCTTTTAAGTCAAGCTCTTAGTATGAAAAATAAAATAATTAAATATTAAAGAAAATTAATTTAATGATGGCATTTTCATACATATAATCATTTTCTTACATATTTACATAACTAACATATACCATCAAAATCTTTCATATGACATAAAAAATATAATCTTTTTATTTTCAAAAACATGTAATTCATTTTTATATATACATATAAATAAGATGAGATATACATGTAAAAATTGAAGTTTAAATATTAGATATATAAACACACAAGAATAGATTGATCTTTCAATTCTCGTCCTCCTAAGAAAAGTATTACGTGCGGCTGACTGCACATCTAGATGACAGTTTAGAGGTGCCGTCGTGTGATTCACGACGGCATGGCCGCATCTGAATCATCGCCCGGACGTACAACCATCTTAAAAAAATGTCATCCACATGGCCATCATTCAACTCATCAAAACTACCAAATTCCCAAAAGCCTTCTATCATGAGAGACAAAGATATATAAGAAAAAAAAAATCAGTAGACGCCAATTCCCACAACCGGCAGACCACTCAGAGCTACTATTCTTCTGTCTTCTTCCTTCCATGAAATAACCCCTCTTTGATTCCTCTCCCTTCAAAACAACTAAATTAAAGCCACGCTGTTCTCTAACCTTTTAGAGAGAGAAAGAGAGTGGTAGCAAGAGATAGAGAGAGAAAGAAGCCATGGAAATTTTGGAGCTTTTGATGGAGCTATAGGAAGAAGAACTTAATCCGGCTTTAGTCTCTTCTTCGTTCATTCTTTCTTCAGGTATTAGAATCTTTCTCTTTCTTGTTTGCTTCTTTTGGACATATAGCGAGTATTATGTCTGGAGTCCGCACATACAGATTGATGGTATTTTACACTGCAATACTATCAATACGACCAACATACTACTAAATACGGACTCGTTCACGCCTATCTCGTCTCGTCCCGACCGGACGTAATAAGTTTTCTAGATACAGAGAGAGCGATCGAACTTTCTGTCGTTTCTTGCTTTCTCTCTCTTTCTGTTTCGGTGCTATGGGATTCATGTCGGCTTATTATTTATCGATCGGTTTATGTCTTCTTCGTCTTCGTAGCTCGAGCAAGAATGGCGTCCGGCGAAGCTTTCCGCGTACCTTCTTCTTCTTCCTCCATGCTTCCCTTCTCCTACGACCAAAACCCTAACCCTAATCTGATGTCACCCGCTGCAGCACCTCTGAAGAAGAAGAGAAATCTCCCCGGAACACCAGGTTTTAATCTGCTACTCTTGAAGAAACTTTTGGTTAGATATCTAATTAAAATTTAATCTGAAATATTTTTATTTTATTTTTTTAATTTGATGGGGATGGCATGTAAATAATACAAAAATTTGTTACAACTTTGTTTTTAAGCAAGATTTAACTTATTAAAGGGCCATTTTCATAAGCACCACATAAGTCCTATATATTTTCATATATTACATTTAAACATTTAAATTTATATCCACGCCCTTCAAATCTTTGACATTCATCACATTGAGGGGCAGTTTGTGCTTATCATGAAACGTGGCCTGCGGGTGACCTGCGACCTGCGTTTAGTATAGAAACCCAACCGCATTTTCGGATAAGCTGTCGTAACGTGTTTTCCAAACGGCAGTGTGACATATTGAAAATGCCGCCCAAACTTATAAGCTGCCCCAAACGGGCCCTGAATATCTCATTTTCTGCATGTATTTATTGCTCGAAAAGGTTATAAATGTAAATATTGAAATTTGGGTGTTAGATATGTAAATACATAGATTATCATGCCAAATAATTTAGCAGGATCTAACGCTCGTCAAGCCAAATCTTTTAAAAAATAATTCAACATATTTTAAGAAATTTTTTATAGGTATTTACATACCTACCACCCTATCCTATGACTTAACAAATCAACCACCCCCAAACTTTATTTTTTACTTGCAGAACACCCCCCGATTCCTGTATTTTCGACATGGGTTCAGTAATCTATATGTAAAAATTTAAATTTACATATTTGATATGTTAATACTTTGGAATTGGGTGGTAGCGATGTAAATCAAAACATTAATATTTACAAATTAAACACGCAATTGATTTTTTGAATTATCGAACCAATGCATTTACGCATGCTACGATCATACCATTGAGAATTTGATAAAAAATAAGAAACACGGGTTGAAATAGAGTGCTTGATTTGTAAATAACATTGTTATGGGTGCTTTTTATGTAAGTGACTGTTTTTTTAACCATTCTAAGGGTCCAAGCTTATTTGGTACAGTGGCTTTGAAAACGCACCTGACATGTTTAGGTAAGCTGTGTTTTGCCAGCTTATGCGTTTTCAGTTTTCACACCGCACCTATCTAGGTGGGATGTCAGTTTTCTGGCAGCGGTATGACTTTTTCAAAAAAAATAAAAATTTATCAGCAAATTATTCAATAAGCTGTGTTTTTCGTTTATTTTTCTCTTTTTTATTTTAAAAAGGAGTCGCCAGTTTGTCAATCGTCGTATACTTCCCCCATTCGAATAAATCTCCCTCCCGAACCATATAAATGATTTGAGGAGGAGAGGAACCGAATAAGAAGGGACATACGACAAAGTCACAAACAAGAGAAAAAGTAAAACGTGGAGAGTCTACGTGCGATAAACCTCGCAAGGATATGTTAAGAATGTTCGCCCAAACAAGATCGGGCGGAGAC